GCCCGGTGACATTACACGGAATCTGTTTAGTTGCAAAAATGACATCCCTCCCTCTCGGGAATCAGATTGTAAGGACATGGGTTTAATGCGTTTTTGGATTTGATACCTATTTTTGTCAACTGTCGTTGAGACTCGTATCAATTGGTCTTGTTGCTATAGTAACACTCCCGTGTGTGAGCTATGCTTTCTGTTGTGGGTTGCTAATCATTGATTGCAGGACAGGTAGCATGTGGTCTGTGCACAGACCACTAATCAGGAATGGATGCAAGGCGACAGGTGCACAGACCACTAATCAGGAATGAATGCAAGGCGACAGGTGGACGTTTTTGTCCAACTATATGCCGAACGAAATATCTGAAACAACATTATCAACAGTTTTGTGTTTTAAACATTATGTTCCTTCAAAACGGACATAATACATCTTGCTGGCGTACATGCAAACTAAAAAGAGATTCTTAAAGACATTGTGTTTTTTCAGTGCCTCTCACTAGTTTACTTTGACTGCTCCCACTAACATATAAATAACTTCAAGTTGGCATCATGAATGTTCTGAAAAGGGTAAAACACTGCATGAGATTCATTACCAAGGGGTCGGTCGGGTAGCCTAGTGGTTAAAGCGTTCGCTCGTCACGCCGAAGACCTAGGTTCGAATCCCGACATGGGTACAATGTGTGAAGCCCATTTCTGGTGTCCCCCGCCGTGATATTGCTGGAATATTGCTAAAAGTGGCGTAAAACCAAACTCACTCACTCACTCATTACCCAGGGGTGAGGGTTTTAAATTTCATAAAAACCAAGGGCAACTGTTTTATCTGACTTATCAACCAAAAAAAGAAATTTGAAACATTTGTCTACATTTGCCTGTTTCAAACATACTTTGCATTAACCTTAGGAAACAGACGTAAACATCTCTTGCTGGCGTACAGGTACTTGAAAAAGAGATTCTAATTAGCATTGTGAATTAATCAATTCACTCACTGGGCTACAGATACGAAGTTTAATCATTGGAAATATTAGAGAACTTTTGTCATTTCATTTTACATCATTTCATAACATTGTGTTCAAATGCAAAAGCATTTTCCAGGGAGAGACATTCACAAGTCATAGTATCAATGGAAGTCGTATTAATACAAAAATATTGGATATTGTATAATGTCAGAGGGGTATTATGACATCACTGTTTATGAGATTTAACCCAATTGGAAAACAATAGGATGATGTCACTGGAGGTGTACCAGTATAAGTAAATAGGGACACGGAACACGGGACACAGGACACGGAACACGGGACACGGGATACAGGACACGGGATACAGGACACGGAACACAGGACACGGAACACGGGACACAGGACACGGAACACGGGACACGGGACACGGGATACAGGACACGGAACACGGGACACGGGATACGGGACACGGGACACAGGACACGGGACACAGGACACGGAACACGGGATACAGGACACGGGACACAGGACACAGAACACGGGATACAGGACACAGAACACGGGACACGGGATACGGGACACGGAACACAGAACACGGGACACAGGACACGGAACACGGGACACAGGACACGGAACACGGGATACAGGACACGGGACACAGGACACAGGACACAGAACACGGGATACAGGACACGGAACACGGGACACGGGATACAGGACACGGAACACGGGACACGGAACACGGGACACAGGACACGGAACACGGGACACAGGACACGGAACACAGGACACGGGACACGGGATACAGGACACGGAACACAGGACACGGGACACGGAACACGGGATACAGGACACACAACACGGGACACGGGACACGGAACACAGGACACAGAACACGGGACACAGGACACAGGACACGGAACACGGAACACGGGACACAGAACACGGGACACGGAACACGGGACACAGGACACAGAACACGGGACACAGGACACGGAACACAGGACACGGAACACGGGACACAGGACACGGAACACGGGATACAGGACACGGAACACGGGACACGGAACACAGGACACAGAACACGGGACACGGGACACGGGATACAGGACACGGAACACAGGACACAGAACACGGAACACAGGACACGGAACACGGGACACGGGATACAGGACACGGAACACAGGACACGGGACACAGGACACGGAACACGGGACACGGGATACAGGACACGGAACACAGGACACAGAACACGGGACACAGGACACGGAACACGGGACACGGGATACAGGACACGGAACACGGGACACGGGACACGGGACACGGAACACGGGATACAGGACACGGAACACGGGACACGGGATACAGGACACGGAACACGGAACACGGGACACAGGACACGGAACACGGGACACGGGACACGGGACACAGGACACAGGACACAGAACACGGGACACAGGACACGGGATACAGGACCAGAACACGGGACACGGAACACGGGACACAGGACACAGGACACGGAACACGGGATACAGGACACGGAACACGGGACACAGGACACAGAACACGGGACACGGAACACGGGACACAGGACACAGAACACGGGACACAGGACACGGGATACAGGACACGGAACACGGGACACGGAACACGGGACACAGGACACGGAACACGGGACACGGGATACAGGACACGGAACACAGGACACGGAACACGGGATACAGGACACAGAACACGGGACACAGGACACGGAACACAGGACACAGAACACGGCACACAGGACACGGAACACGGAACACGGGACACAGGACACAGAACACGGGACACGGAACACGGGACACAGGACACAGAACACGGGACACAGGACACGGAACACAGGACACGGAACACGGGACACAGGACACGGGATACAGGACACGGAACACGGGACACGGAACACAGGACACGGAACACAGGACACGGGACACGGGATACAGGACACGGAACACAGGACACAGAACACGGGACACAGGACACGGAACACAGAACACGGGACACAGGACACGGAACACAGGACACGGAACACGGAACACGGGACACAGGACACAGAACACGGAACACGGGACACAGGACACAGAACACGGGACACAGGACACGGAACACAGGACACGGAACACGGGACACAGGACACGGAACACGGGATACAGGACACGGAACACGGGACACGGAACACGGGACACAGGACACGGAACACAGGATACAGGACACGGAACACAGGACACTGAACACAGGATACAGGACACAGAACACGGGATACAGGACACGGAACACAGGACACTGAACACGGGACACGGAACACGGGACACAGGACACGGAACACGGGACACAGGACACAGAACACGGGATACAGGACACGGAACACGGGACACGGGATACAGGACACGGAACACGGAACACAGGACACGGGACACGGAACACAGGACACAGGACACGGGACACGGGATACGGGACACGGGACACAGGACACAGAACACGGGATACAGGACACGGAACACGGGACACAGAACACGGGACACAGGACACGGAACACGGGACACAGAACACGGGACACGGGATACAGGACACGGAACACGGGACACAGGACACAGAACACGGGACACGGGACACAGGACACGGGATACAGGACACGGAACACGGGACACGGGACACAGAACACGGGACACAGGACACAGAACACGGGACACAGGATACAGGACACGGAACACGGGACACAGGACACAGAACACGGGACACAGGACACAGAACACAGGACACAGAACACGGGATACAGGACACGGGATACAGGACACGGAACACGGGACACAGGACACAGAACACGGGATACGGGACACAGGACACAGAACACGGGATACGGGACACAGGACACGGAACACGGAACACGGGACACAGAACACGGGACACGGGACACAGAACACGGGATACGGGACACAGGACACGGAACACGGAACACGGGACACGGAACACGGGACACGGGACACGGGACACAGAACACGGGATACGGGACACAGGACACGGAACACGGGACACAGAACACGGGACACGGGACACGGGACACAGAACACGGGATACAGAACACGGGATACAGGACACGGAACACGGGACACAGGACACGGAACACGGGACACAGGACACAGAACACGGGACACAGGACACGGGACACAGGATACAGGACACGGAACACGGGACACAGGACACAGAACACGGGATACAGGACACAGAACACGGAACACGGGACACAGGACACAGGACACGGAACACGGGACACAGGACACAGAACACGGGACACAGGACACGGAACACAGGACACGGAACACGGGACACAGGACACGGAACACGGGATACAGGACACGGAACACGGGACACAGGACACGGGACACGGAACACGGGACACGGGACAGAGGGACTTTCTTTTGAATATTCCTGGGACAGAGGGACTTTCTTTTGAATATTCCTGGCACAGAGGGACTTTCTTTTGAATATTCCTGGCACAGAGGGACTTTGTTTTGAATATTCCTGGCACAGAAGTACTTTCTTTTGAATATTCCTGGGACAGAGGGACTTTCTTTTGAATATTCCTGGCACAGAGGGACTTTGTTTTGAATATTCCTGGCACAGAAGGACTTTCTTTTGAATATTCCTGGCACAAAGAGATCTCCTGTCGGCAGTCCCTGCTATTAGAGGTTATTCTGTGGAAAGAAGGCCCCCGTAAGAACAATAGGATGACATCACCAGAGGGGACTAGTCATCCATGTAACGTGAAGTTAGGCAACATTGGTGGCAGAGAGTAGGTGGATGGGCACAGGTTACATGTACACCCAAATTCTGGGGTTGATTCTATTGGCCATGATGTGAAGCCCATTCTTGGAGTTTCTGACTGAGGGACAGATTTCAGTTAGATACAGAATGTTTTCAGTATCTCTTCAGAGGAGAAGACAAACAGAGAGTTTTCAGGACATACATTCAGTAAGCAAATGAAAAAGGAATTCTGTATAATTTAGTTGTTTATATTTGCAGCATCCTGTTCGCGGACATCTGCGGCTTCACGTCACTCTCGTCTCAGTGCACGGCGCAGGAACTGGTGCAGCTGCTCAATGAACTCTTCGCTCGCTTCGACCGCCTCGCCGCGGACAACCACTGTCTGAGAATCAAGATCCTGGGGGACTGCTACTACTGCGTCAGTGGCCTACAAGAGGCTCGCACTGACCATGCCCACTGCTGTGTCGAGATGGGGCTGGATATGATTGAAGCCATTGCGTAAGGGTTCTGTTATGATCGTTATCTTCATGATATTGGGTTAAAAAATGAATCATTCAAATTATAATCAGGTATGTAATGTTAGGAAGAAAGGAAGAAAGATTTGAGAGGCGAGAGGGGGCATTTTCCCGAGGCAAGGGAGGTAACTGACTATAAAAATCCAGTTTCCACCCTTTCCAAACTAGGCTGGAATTTCGTGGCTCGATCGTAACATGGATCAGATTCCATCTCTCATATCACTTGCATTTGCTCCAAACAAAATGTATGCGCCAAGTGATGACGATTTTATAAATAATCAGTTGTATATTGTTATAAAAGGGGCTTACTTCACAAAGTGCATCAAATTATGTGAGCAAGTTTCTTAAACACGAAAAGATTTGGAAAATAGCTGTCGACACCCAGTTCACTGGTACACGGTTTGCAAATCCTGCACAGCAATCGTCATGTAGTGTATGAACTAGATGTTGATTCCATTAAGCAGTTTTTATATTGGTCTGTGGTTTCAGGCTGGGATGGTATTACATTACAAGTATAGCTAATGTTCACAATTCTTTCTGACTATGCACTCATTCGTTCTGACTTTTGTATGTTTGAGTAAGGATTAAACGTCTAACAACTTCAGTGTATGAAGTAAGACGAGTTCTATGGATGAACAACTTCTTTATTACAATTATTGCGACATTTTGGTGTAGATCCTAACACCTTTATCAAGCAAGTGATCATCACACCGAAACGTCGCACTAATTGTAATATAGAAGTTGTTTATCCATAGAACTTGTCTTACTTCATCACACCAACTTATAAATGCCACTGAAAGAAATTAACTTCAGTGTATGCATGATCAGATCGTTTTATGCGTGTATTTAAATAGTTTATGCCAGGGCTGCGGTAAAACAATTTGTACCCAACTCTTGAGACTTATAGCGGGTACCCGGGTAGGACTGGGTAATAGGGTGTCAGGTACCCGGGTAGTAGTAAATTTGGTTTGACTTGTTAGGCCAGCCAAAATGTATCTCAGAAATTCCACCCTTTTAAAGTCAGTTAAGGTACTGGTAATTTATTATGGTAGGGAGGGAAGGAGAGGAGAGGTCAGATCAGCCTTAAGGCTGTATGATATTTTGCCTCTCTGTCATCGTGACCCCTCCCTGAATCTCACCTGCACCTGCTACCTTAAAAATATTATAATTTAACTACAATAAATTACCAGCTAATCTTGCCTCAGGAAGATGGGAGGGGGAGAGAAAACAAGACAATATTAACGTACTTTAATGTTTCAGGTAAAGCAGGTGTAGACGATAAATATACAGTTTCACTCAGAGCGGTATTTGTTGATAGAATATTTTAATTTTTTTGACGGAAAATATTATTCTACAATGTTGAGAGTGTTCATTTATTTTTTTCCTTCAGTATACAAAGGTCGTTTAATCCTTCATTAGTACTCTTTTGTCAAGTAACCATGGTTACAAATTAAATTCTTTATCACGGAACTTTGCTGGCATGAATACATTTGATGTCTAAGTTTCTTCTCTGTTTTAAAAGAAAAACATTGTTTGCCTCCAGCTTGGTGCGTGACGTGACCGGCGTGAACGTCAACATGCGCGTGGGGATCCATAGCGGGCGTGTGCACTGTGGGGTGCTGGGATTGAGGAAGTGGCAGTTTGACGTGTGGAGCAATGACGTCACCCTGGCCAACATGATGGAGGCGGGGGGCTTACCGGGGTGAGGAGGAGACATTAACCCTACGTATCTCAGTCCTCAGATTGACCCTACATATCTCTGTCTACAGATTAACCCTACGTATCTCTGTCTACAGATTAACCCTACTTATCTCTGTCTACAGATTAACTCTACGTATCTGTGTCTACAGATTAACCCTACGTATCTCTGTCTACAGATTAACCCTACTTATCTCTGTCTACAGATTAACCCTACGTATCTGTGTCTACAGATTAACCCTACTTATCTGTGTCTACAGATTAACCCTACGTATCTCAGTCCTCAGATTGACCCTACATATCTCTGTCTACAGATTAACCCTACGTATCTCTGTCTACAGAATAACCCTACGTATCTCAGTCCTCAGATTGACCCTACGTATCTCTGTCTACAGATTAACCCTACCTATCTTTGTCTACAGATTACCCCTATGTATCTCTGTCTACAGATTAACCCTACGTATCTCTGTCTACAGATTAACCCTACATATCTTTGTCTACAGATTAACCCTACGTATCTCTGTCTACAGATTAACCCTACGTATCTGTGTCTACAGATTAACCCTACATATCTGTGTCTACAGATTAACCCTACGTATCTCAGTCCTGAGATTGACCCTACGTATCTCTGTCTACAGACTAACCCTACCTATCTTTGTCTACAGATTAACCCTACTTATCTCTGTCTACAGATTAACCCTACGTATCTCTGTCTACAGATTAACCCTACGTATCTGTCTACAGAATATCCCTATGTATCTGTCTACAGATTAACCCTATGTAACTATCTACAGATTAACCCTACGTATCTTTGTCTACAGATTAACCCGACGTATCTGTCTACAGATTAACCCTACGTATCTGTGTCTACAGATTAACCCTACGTATCTGTCTACAGAATAATCCTATGTATCTGTCTACAGATTAACCCAATGTTACTATCTACAGATTGACCCTACGTATCTTTGTCTACAGATTAACCCGACGTATCTGTCTACAGATTAACCCTACGTATCTTTGTCTACACATTAACCCTATGTATCTTTGTCTACAGATTAACCCTATGTATCTGTCTACAGATTAACCCTACGTATCTTTGTCTACAGATTAACCCTATGTATCTCAGTCCTCAGATTGACCCTACATATCTCTGTCTACAGATTAACCCTACGTATCTCTGTCTACAGATTTACCCTACTTATCTCTGTCTACAGATTAACCCTACGTATCTGTGTCTACAGATTAACCCTACGTATCTGTGTCTACAGATTAACCCTACGTATCTGTCTACAGAATAACCCTATGTATCTGTCTACAGATTAACCCTATGTAACTATCTACAGATTAACCCTACAACCAGGAGATAACATGAAGATCCGCGTTAGAGTTCAACGTTAAACGCCAAACAATACAACCAGGAGATAACATGAAGATCCGCGTTAGAGTGCAACGTTAAACACCAAACAATACAACCAGGAGATAACATGAAGATCCGCGTTAGAGTGCAACGTTAAACACCAAACAATACAACCAGGAGATAACATGAAGATCCGTGTTAGAGTGCGACGTTAAACACCAAACAATACAACTAGGAGATAACATGAAGATCTGCGTTAGAGTGCAACGTTAAACACCAAACAATACAACCAGGAGATAACATGAAGATCCGCGTTACAGTGCAACGTTAAACACCAAACAATACAACCAGGAGATAACATGAAGATCCGCATTAGAGTGCAACGTTAAACACCAAACAATACAACCAGGAGATAACATGAAGATCCGCATTAGAGTGCAACGTTAAACACCAAACAATACAACCAGGAGATAACATGAAGATCCGCGTTAGAGTGCGACGTTAAACACCAAACAATACAACCAGGAGATAACATGAAGATCCGCGTTAGAGTGCGACGTTAAACACCAAACAATACAACTAGGAGATAACATGAAGATCCACGTTAGAGTGCAACGTTAAACACCAAACAATACAACTAGGAGATAACATGAAGATCCGCGTTAGAGTGCGACGTTAAACACCAGACAATACAACCAGGAGATAACATGAAGATCCGCGTTAGAGTGCGACGTTAAACACCAGACAATACAACCAGGAGATAACATGAAGATCCGCGTTAGAGTGCGACGTTAAACACCAAACAATACAACTAGGAGATAACATGAAGATCTGCGTTAGAGTGCAACGTTAAACACCAAACAATACAATTAGGAGAAAGCTACTGTATTTTCTGTTTAAAGGTTTTAAAAATATTTCACTGCAGTCATTATAAGGATGTAACTCACTCCCCTACTCTTGTTTGTCAGGCGAGTCCACATCACGGAGGACACGCTGAGCTCCCTCAACAGTTTCTACGAGGTGGAAGAGGGGCAGGGCGGGGAACGCAACAACTACCTCCTGGACCACGCCATCAAGACGTACCTCATCAAGGAGCATCACTCCAGGATACGGGTATGAACACAGGCTCTCTCACTGTCTTTGTTCACCAGTGATGCTGGTGGCCCAGTAGTCTAAGATGACGATAGTCATGGGTTTAAATCTCCATCTGCAAGGTCGTCACTTGGTTTGTCTGCACCATGCCTACACTCGTGGGTTTCACTTATGCGAATTCCACGGATGCATGACTTCAGACTTTCACTCACTCATTCAATAAATTGTTTAACAGTGTTATTCGTCATTTGTAGGTCTGTTCAGCGAACATCTTCCCGAGGCAAGGGAAACATGTTCAGTGAAACATTAGCTTAACTTTTGAACTTAACATTAGCTTATGTTTGAAATATAAATTCCATGTGAGTGTTTTCTCTGCAGAAGGTGGCAGCAGCGTCCAGTGGGAACAGCCCGGGGAACATGTCCAACTCCAATGTCGGCAAAGAGCTGAAGATGATGGGGTATAACGCCAACCCCAATGCTGGCATTCACCATAAGTAGGTCACCACCACTGCCATTAAGTCACCACCACCGCGAGGTCACCAATAGTGCCATTTAGTCACCAATAGCACTATTAAGTCACCAACACCGCCATGTCACCAATAGTGCCATTTTGTCACCAATAGGGCCTTTTAGTCACCATTAGTGCCTTTTAGTCATCAATAGTGCCATTTAGTCACCAATAGCGCCATTTAGTCACCAATACCTCTATTAAGTCCCCAACTCCGCCATTAAGTCACCAAGATGTAATGCCATTATCACACTTTGTTTGGGAACAGAGTCTCTCTAAATCTGACCCTTTTCATTATTGATCCGTGAAGATCCAGAGTAGAATAGGTCTTCAGCAACCAATTCTTACTGTAAAAGGCCATTTTGTTTGTCGTAAGAGGCAACTAAAGGGATCGGGTGGACAGACTTGCTGACTTAGTTGATGTATGTCTTTGTATTCCAATTGCGTGGATCGATCTCATGATGTCAGTCAGTGGATTGTCTGGTCCAGACTCGATTATATAAAGACTGCCTTCATGATCATATAGCTGGAATATTGCTGAGTGCGGTGTCAAACAATAAACAAACAACCAAACTTTTCATTATCACTCTGACTCACTCACTCACTCACTCACTCACTCACTCACTCACTCACTCACTCACTCACTCACTCACTCGCTCGCTCACTCACTCACTCACTCACTCACCCACAGACTCGGCATCGGAGACAACCATGAAGCAAAGACCCCGGAGGAGGAGGTCAACGAATATCTGGGTCGCGCCATTGATGCTCGGAGCATCGACCGTCTACGCTCTGATCATGTGAAGGGCTTCTTCTTCACATTCCGGAAAAAGGACCTTGAAGAAAAGGTGCGAAAACAGATTTCATATGAACATTCCGTTGTTATGAAGTGTACGGTTGATAATACCATCATATTGTCTGTATCATGTGAGAAGTAATGCAGAAATCATGAGAATCTGACGATTCTACTTCCTCAACCAACAGATTCGGGTGATTTCTCCGACTCAGTCCATGATATGGTGGATTTATGATTTCTCTATAATTTTGCATAATGACCCATAGTTGTGTCAGTTTTACTGGTTGAGAATGTACGTGCAGAATGGTCAGTGAATTCCTGGTGCGGAATCAACTTCAAGAGCAATAACATATGTCATCAACATCAATATTAACAGCAAAACAACGAAAAAGATTGTTTAGGTTTAGATTCAAAGCCAGTCTCCATGGAATAATTGTTTGAATATTGGAACTTGCTTATGTTGAAAGGATAAAAAAAAGTGCTGAGTTAGCCTAAGTCCTCTGTTGGTCGTTTGTTGTAATGTCATCTTGTTGTAAAGTCCAGATTGGTTTATTCATCTGCTGTTGCTAGTGCATGTGTTCACAGCAAACCACCCACACACTTCACCACTCAGTATGTACTGTGAATCATGCTGCATTCTCACTCTCACTCTGACGCACATCACAGCTGAGTTGGCAGTGTGTATTAACTGCACCTTGATAAGGATGCACTTGGAAATATATGTCTGTATTTGTTGCAGTACCGCAAAGTCCGAGACACCATGTTCACATCACATCTGGCCTGTGTGTTCCTCGTCCTCATCCTCATCTGTGCTGTACAGCTTACCATCATTCCAAGGTAGGGGATAACATCTTACCAGCATTCAAAGGTAGGGGATAACATCTTACCATCATTCCAAGGTAGGGGATAACATCTTACCAGCATGCCAAGGTAGATCATCTTACCATCATACCAAGGGAGGGGGTAACATCTTACCAGCATGCCAAGGTAGGGGATAACATCTTACCAGCATGCCAAGGTAGGGGATAACATCTTACCATCATTCCAAGGTAGGGGATAACATCTTACCATCATTCCAAGGTAGGGGATAACACCTTACCATCATTCCAAGGTAGGGGATAACATCTTACCATCATACCAAGGTAGGGGATCACAGCTTATCCTCATTCCAAGGTAGGGGATAACATCTTACCATCATTCCAAGGTAGGGGATAACATCTTACCAGCATGCCAAGGTAGGGGATAACATCTTACCAGCATGCCAAGGTAGATCATCTTACCATCATACCAAGGGAGGGGATAACATCTTACCAGCATGCAAAGGTAGGGGATAACAGCTTACCATCATTCCAAGGTAGGGGATAACATCTTACCAGCATGCCAAGGTAGGGGATAACATCTTACCATCATTCCAAGGTAGATCATCTTACCATCATACCAAGGGAGGGGATAACATCTTACCAGCATGCCAAGGTAGGGGATAACATCTTACCAGCATGCCAAGGTAGGGGATAACAGCTTACCGTTATTCGAAAGTAGGGGATAACAGCTTATCGTCATTCCAAGGTAGAACATCTTACCATCATACCAAGGGAGGGGATAACAGCTTACCATCATACCAAGGTAGGAGATAACAGCTAACCATCATACAAAGGTAGGGGATAAATCTTACCATCATTCCAAGGTAGGGGATAACATCTTACCATCATACCAAGGTAGGGGATAACATCTTACCATCATACCAAGGTAGGGGATCACAGCTTATCCTCATTCCAAGGTAGGGGATCACAGCTTATCCTCATTCCAAGGTAGGGGATAACATCTTACCATCATTCCAAGGTAGGGGATAACATCTTACCAGCATGCCAAGGTAGGGGATAACATCTTTCCAGCATGCCAAGGTAGGGGATAACATCTTACCATCATACCAAGGAAGGGGATAACAACTTACCATCATACCAAAGTAGGGGATAACAGCTTATCGTCATACCAAGGTAGAGGGTAATAGCTTTGATGACAACAAAAAAAGGCTGCTTGTCAGTTGATGTTTTCTGTTTGTTCCAGGACAGTGGTCATGCTTGGGGTGTATGTGTCTGGACTCCTGGTTGTCCTGGCTCTCTTCCTCCTGGTGCTCTGTGAAACCTGCTCGGTAAGTTGCTGGATCTATGTGTCAAGATTTGTGGCCCTCTCAGAAACCTCATTGGTAAGTTGCTGGCCCTCTCAGAAACCTGCTCGGTAAGTTGCTGGATCCAAGTGTCAAGATTTGTGGCCCTCTCAGAAACCTCCTCGGTAAGTTGCTGGATCTAAGTGTCAAGATTTGTGGCCCTCTCAGAAACCTCCTCGGTAAGTTGCTGGATCTAAGTGTCAAGATTTGAGGCCCTCTCTGAAACCTCCTCGGTAAGGTGCTGGATCTATGTGTCAAGATTTGAGGCCCTCTCTGAAACCTCCTCGGTAAGGTGCTGGATCTATGTGTCAAGATTTGTGGCCCTCTCAGAAACCTCATTGGTAAGTTGCTGGCCCTCTCAGAAACCTGCTTGGTAAGTTGCTGGATCTAAGTGTCAAGATTTGTGGCCCTCTCTGAAACCTCCTCGGTAAGTTGCTGGATTTCTGTGTCAAGATTTGTGGCCCTCTCAGAAACCTCCTCGGTAAGTTGTAGGATCTAAGTGTCAAGATTTGTGGCCCTCTCAGAAACCTCCTCGGTAAGTTGCTGGATCTAAGTGTCAAGATTTGTGGCCCTCTCTGAAACTTCCTTGGTAAGTTGCTGGATCTGAGTGTCAAGATTTGTGGCCCTCTGAAACCTCCTCGGTGAGTTGCTGGATCTATGTGTCAAGATTTGTGGCCCTCTCAGAAACTTCCTCGGTAAGTTGCTGGATCTATGTGTCAAGATTTGTGGCCTCCTCAGAAACCTCCTCGGTAAGTTGCTGGATCTGTGCATCAAACATTCCTGGCCCTGTCAGAAACCTTTACCAGCCTCCAGACTAGAATCTTCCACAAAAACATCTGTAAGCAAATGTTCCTTGTTTCCCCATGCTGCAGAGAAACAGTCAAGTTGGTCTCCACATCAACACCCTTATCTTTCAGTGCACCCCCAAGGGATTACGAGCTGTTGCCACCAAAATCGCCGTCAATCGCTGGCTGAACCAACTGGTTGCCATTGTGTCCGTCCTGATGGTCTATGCCTCGGCGTTCTGTGCCATGGTAAGAACACATCCCCGACTTCAAGTTTTCTGATGATGCAAATATAGGACATGTTTAGACAAAGGAAAGAAAGAAATATGTCTTTGCTGTGAATAACAATAAAACCCTTTTTGGGTATCGTTTGCTTGTCGCTTTTGGGATGCCTTTTCTTTTCGTAAGAGCTTTTTGACGACTAAATTGGGGATTCATTTCCAAGTTGTCTCGAGTCTCCAATCAACTTGTGATCTTCCTGGTGTTGTGACAGTACAAAAAGATAAAGAATTCTCTTTGATGTGTTTGTCTGAAATACATGAAATACCTTGGTTACAATGCCTTTTATACTGTGTAGTAACGTGGATTGTGAATGTTTTTCATTCTGTGTGTTTGCACCCAACATTCTGCATACCACCATGTCAGACATGTCTTTATTGTTGTGGACTTGTTCTGTCCAGTTGATGCTGAGCTCCCCACAGTTCCCGGAGTGTGTGGAGTCTTACCTTCACCTCAACAGCAGCAGCAACGGGAACCTGTCCATCATCTCCAAGGCAGCCATCACTCGCGAGTCTCACCTCTCCGTCTGCAACCCTGCTCAACCAACGTCTTTCTTCCCAGAGGTCAGTGACTGTGACAGGACATGAGATACCTGTGTCGGGAGACTGCAGGGGTAAAACGATACGCATAATGATATACAGGTCACGATTTGATTCATATCGTAACACACATATTTACGTCAATTCGCTTGGAAACTTCTTACTATAAATATTTCAGGGCAGGTTCATAAGGTTCATTGTTCGTAACAGCTATTTGTAGTTAATTACAACACATTTGTGAAATTTAACTGACGAAACGCTGTTTTTTTTAAACGAGTAGTAATTTATTTTAGCAAGTGTATCGTGTTGTATTGATACAGAAAAAAACGTACAGTGTGTCGTATTGTCACATGAAAACTCACGATGCACTGGTCTATCGTTTCACCCTAAGGGGACGGGATATAAGGTACCTGTGTCGGTAGATGATATCAACCGCTGGTTTGTCAAATTGAGAGTAGCGGCTGGGTGGCCTAATGGTTAAGGTCTTTGTTCATCACACCAAAAGCCCAGGTTCTATTCTCCGCCGTGTATTCCTGGGCTGATTCATGTACTATTGCTGGCTGGGGGGGGGGGGGGGGGGGGGACAATCAACATTGTCCTTATGAAAATTCTTTTGTTCAAATTGTTCAGTCACATTTGGCAAGGTGTGCTGCAGTTGTCAGGGTAATCTGTCCGCCTGATGTCATTATCTTCAAGATATGTAATCGAGGCTTTGCACTATTATTCCAGTACTTCACATTCTGCGTGATCATGTCGATGATCTCCATGGCGGTGTTTCTTCAAGCCACCAGTATTGTCAAGATGGTTCTCTTCATATCCATGACGGCCATCTACCTGCTGGTGGCACAACTCTTCTACGCCAACATTTTCGACAACCGTGACCTGCTGCTGAGGGCTTCATCAGGGTAGGTCATCCCCAGGGTTCTGTAGGTCGTCCCCAGGGTTCTGTAGGTCGTCCCCAGGGTTCTGTAGGTCATCCCCAGGGTTCTGTAGGTCATCCCCAGGGTTCTGTAGTTCATCCCCAGGGTTCTGTTGGTCATCCCCAGGGTTCTGTAGGTTGTCCCCAGGGTTCTGTAGGTCATCCCCAGGGTTCTGTAGGTCGTCCCCAGGGTTCTGTAGGTTGTCCCCAGGGTTCTGTAGGTCATCCCCAGGGTTCTGTAGGTCGTCCCCAGGGTTCTGTAGGTCATCCCCAGGGTTCTGTAGGTCGTCCCCAGGGTTCTGTAGGTCAGCTCCAGGGTTCTGTAGGTCGTCCCCAGGGTTCTGTAGGTCACCGCCAGGGTTCTGTAGGTCATCCCCAGGGTTCTGTAGGTGGTCCTAAAGGTTCTGTAGGTCACCGCCAGGGTTCTGTAGGTCGTCCCCAGGGTTCTGTAGGTCGTCCCCAGGGTTCTGCGGATCGTCCCCAGGGTTCTGTAGGTCGTCCCCAGGGTTCTGTAGGTCGTCCGCAGGGTTCTGTAGGTCGTCCCCAGGGTTCTGTAGGTTGTCCCCAGGGTTCTGTAGGTTGTCCCCAGGGTTCTGTAGGTCGTCCCCAGGGTTCTGTAGGTCATCCCCAGGGTTCTGTAGGTCGTCCCCAGGGTTCTGTAGGTTGTCCCCAGGGTTCTGTAGGTCGTCCCCAGGGTTCTGTAGGTCGTCCCCAGGGTTCTGTAGTTCATCCCCAGGGTTCTGTAGGTCGTCCCCAGGGTTCTGTAGGTTGTCCCCAGGGTACTGTAGGTCGTCCCCAGGGTTCTGTAGGTCGTCCCCAGGGTTCTGTAGGTAGTCCTCAGGCTTCTCTAGGTCGTCCCCAGGGTTCTCTAAGTAGTCCCCTGAGTGTGTCAGTGACCAAGAAGATGTATTGTTGATTAAATATATTTGTTTGCTGCTAACTGTACAGTACTGTTGCCATGGTGATGCCTATAGATGGCTAGGTTGCTGTGGCCAGGACAATATATAATTTATTTGATCTACTTGTTTGTCTCTAACTCTACTGTTGCCATGGTGATGCCTATAGATGGCTCTGTTTCTTTGGCCAGGAAGGACATGTCCTCCCCGACGTCGTCCATCTCGCTGCGTTGGGAGATGATCGTGATTCTGCTGGTGTTCTGCATCGTTCTGTTCGTCCATGCTCAGCAGGTGGAGTCTACTGCCAGGTTGGATTTCCTCTGGAAGGTTCAGGTACGTGTGCAGAATTGTGTCCCTTTGTCATGTCAGGATATGCTGATCCTTAACTTGAATCCCAGTCTTTCTTCCCCCTAAAGCTGACAAGTCATGGTGTAACTGAAATATTGTTCAGTGCAAAGCAGGGTTATGACTAACTCACTCTCGCACTATTCTAATGCACAGGATGATGTTGCTCATGCCATCCATCACTGGTTTGTCTGGTTCAGACTCAAGGGTTTACACGTCATGTGATATAGGTGGAATATTGCTTACTGTGGTATAAAACATCATGCACATTCTGACACGTTTCCGCTGAATACCTAGAGTTACGGGGATGCACAGAATTAGTAATCATGTCCGTCCTGCAATCCTGAATGTTGTATCTCCTACAGTCAGCTATGTTATGATGGCCAGAGAAGCTCTCCAATGTTTCTCTTGATATATTAACATTTAGCAGTAATTCGCTAGATGGGTTTATAAGCAGCATTTATTTTACATCCCACCATTTATTCGCTCTATAAGTAAGTCTGCTTTACTTTAAACAGGCAAAACTCACCTCGCACATGTAATCCCCCATTTACTTCCGTATTCACCAGCAACCGGCAATTACACCACTTCCATCAATTCACGGGCCCTACGTCACTTTCTCTGCCCTACGTCACTTTCTCTGCCCTATGTCACTTTCTCTGCCCTACGTTACTTTCTCTGCCCTACGTCACTTTCTCTGCCCTACGTCACTTTCTCTGCCCTATGTCACTTTCTCTGCCCTACGTCTCTTTCCCTGCCCTACGTCACTTTCTCTGCCCTATGTCACTCTCTCTGCCCTACGTCTCTTTCTCTGCCCTACGTCACTTTCTCTGCCCTACGTCACTTTCTCTGCCCTACGTCACTTTCTCTGCCCTACGTCTCTTTCTCTGCCCTATGTCACTTTCTCTGCCCTACGTCTCTTTCTCTGCCCTACGTCTCTTTCTCTGCCCTATGTTACTTTCTCTGCCCTACGTTACTTTCTCTGCCCTACGTCACTTTCTCTGCCCTACGTCTCTTTCCCTGCCCTACGTCACTTTCTCTGCCCTATGTCACTCTCTCTGCCCTACGTCACTTTCTTTGCCCTATGTCACTTTCTCTGCCCTACGTCACTTTCTCTGCCCTACGTCACTTTCTCTGCCCTACGTCTCTTTCTCTGCGTCACTTATCTCGATGAGATATCGCTTGATCTCACCCAAGTGACACATCCTGTGGAAGTAGGTTTTGGATGAAAAAAATAAAACACTGTTCCAGACTCATTTATCCAAAGTTTGTGTTTGATGAAAAAATTCATAAACTGTTTCGCATTTACCATTAGAAAAAACCCTTTGTTGTACATCATTAAAAGGATGTATTATGACATTTAACTTTGTAAGGAAACCATGTTGAGGTGCATGCGGTAGAAGACGTGTGTGTGTGTTTGGTAACCCCACAAGAAAAGGCACTTGCTTATCCAGTAGGAGATTTGCATGGCAGACATCACCTTCCCATCATGCACCACCACAAGGGAGCATTAATTATTTAGATTCTGCCACACTGTGTCTAATATGATATGGACTTGTAGGTAATGGGAAGACATTCTAACCATGCCTCAATCATGACAGACATCACCTTCCCATCATGCACCACCACAAGGGAGCATTAATTATTTAGATTCTGCCACCCTGTGTCTAATATGATAAGGACTTGTAGGTAATGGGAAGACATTCTAACCATGCCTCAATCATGACAGACATCACTTTCCCATCATGCACCACCACAAGGGAGCATTAATTATTTAGATTCTGCCACCCTGTGTCTAATATGATAAGGACTTGTAGGTAATGGGAAGACATTCTAACCATGCCTCAATCATGGCAGACAACACTCCCATCATGCATGAACACGAGGGAGCATCAATTATCTAGAGACTCTTACACCATGTCTTCTCTGTCTTGAATCTATCATACCATGTCCTCAGATAATGAATGACAAGAATGTTAGGTTGTAGTTGATTGTCAGATGGCCAGATTTCATACTGTAATATTTTTTGTTGCTAGGCAACAGAAGAAATGGAGGAGATGGAAAGCCTCCGAGCGTACAACCTGCGCCTCTTGTCCAACATCCTGCCCCTGAACGTGGCCCAGCACTTCCTCAACAGTCAGTTCAAGAAGGACGAGGTACAGGAGAAATACCATAAGTTGATATCTCACCAGGACAGTATATGTTACTCCAAATAGAATTCCCCTGGGGAATCTGGATTAGAATAGGTCCCAAGCAACCTTTGCTTGTTGGATGGGGGGATTAGGGGATCAGACCCAGTGACTTGGTTGATTGCTTGTCTTCGTACTCCGATGGCGTGGATCGTTGCTCACAATATCAATCACTGGATTGTCTGGTCAAGACTTATTTACAGACCGCTGTCATAAAGCTGGAATATTGCTGAGTGCAGTGTTAAACAAACAAACAAACAAAAGTAATTGGAATAAGGCTGTTTCAGTTCCACTTCAAGGGATTTCTAAAGCTCTGTGTTCCCCATCATATGTATGTGAGATTGTGTGTCAGTGTACCGCTACGATATTTGGATCATTGCTCGTGTTATCAACCTCTGGTTTAAGTGGTCCAGCTTTATTGACCAGCAGATGTGATGTTATCTTCAATCACAAAGTCTCTCAAACATGGTTCAGAGGGACGAGGAGTTAAAGGATCAGATTCACTGTGCAGAGTTATGTCCCTTAGCTGCAGAGTTATGTCCCTTCTCTGATCATTGGTTCTTATGATCCTTGTTTTGTCAGTATCACTATGGATGTGCAGTGTTATACACTCCACTACTCACTGTCTTTCTCGTGGGGATTCTCGAGGAGAACCAGTCCACAGTAACAAATGCTTGTTGTAAGTTTTCACAAAAGATTTGTAGGGTGGTCAGATTTTCACATGGCTCTGTTATCAAGCCCTGATGATGTCGACATTTGGTTGTAAGGCCTTTTGACTTTGCTCCTTCACCATGCCCTGTTGGCATGGACGTTTGGTAGTAAGGCCTTTTGATTTGCCCGATGATGTGGATATTTTGTGGTCAGCCTTGTTGATCTGGTTCAGTGATTAGTTCATCAGACTTTCAGTGATTAGTTCATCAGACTTTCAGTCATTAGTTCATCAGACTTTCAGTGATTAATTCATCAGACTTTCAGTCATTAGTTCATCAGACATTCAGTGATAAGTTCATCAGACTTTCAGTCATTAGTTCATCAGACTTCCAGTCACTAGTTCATCAGACTTTCAGTCATTAGTTCATCAGACTTTCAGTCATTAGTTCATCAGACTTTCAGTCATTAGTTCATCAGACTTTCAGTCATTAGTTCATCAGACTTTAAGTGACAAGTTCATCAGACTTTCAGTTATTAGTTCATCACACTTGACTATTTACTGACAGCTGTGACGCAGCTGTAATAGTGCTGACTGTACGTCACATTCCCTCACTGTGTGTTGTGCTTCAGGAGCTGTACTACAAGGCCTGCGAGAACACGGGTGTGATGTTCGCTTCCATCACCAACTTCTCCGAGTTCTACATGGAGCTGGAAGGCAACAACGAGGGGGTGGAGTGTCTCCGCCTGCTCAACGAGATCATTGCTGACTTTGATGAGGTAAGCATCACATACGTTGCTAATGTGATGATGAGATATTACAAAAACGTTTTCTATTTAAGATACCAATAATGAGAGACCAGGCTTTGGTCAACTGAGCGTCTTAGACGTGGTTTTCAGTTTCCCACAATGCACTATTGCCAACATCAATACCTAGACTGGAAATGAACTCCAGAACACGGGGTCAGTAACTGGAGTAAGCACTACAAAGCAAATGTCACTCTCTGTTGTCATGCCAGCCTAAGTGCTGTTTAAATAGGAGTGTTTTGCCAGTCTAAGTGCTGTTTAAGTAGGAGTGTTTCGCCAGTCTAAGTTCTGTTTAAGTAGGAGTGTTTCGCCAGTATAAGTGCTGTTTAAGTATGTGTGTTTCGCCAGTCTACGCCAGTATGGCTTGTTATTGTGAATGTGCTGTTGGACAGCTTTCTATTGTTGACGTACTATGGGGCATTGAGTTGCCTCCCTTTGACTTGCCTCGTTTCGGTTTTGGGTCTGCCTGGTTCTGAATAAAAGTCAAGTCGTGTTAACGATCGTCTCGTGTCCTGGTTGGTTTGCTTGATACAGTCAATGCCTAACACTTGCACTAAGTGCTGTTTAAGTAGGAGTGTTTCGCCTGTCTAAGTGCTGTTTAAGTTGGAGTGTTTCGCCAGTCTAAATGCTGTTTAAGTAGGAGTGTTTCGCCAGTCTAACTGCTGTTTAAGTAGGAGTGTTTCGCCAGTCTAAGAACTGTTAAAGTAGGAGTGTTACACAAGTCGTAGTGTTATTTAAGTAGAGTGTTATGCAAGTCTAAGTGCTGTTAAAGTGTGGGTGTGGTCACTGGCCATGTGCTGTTTAAGTTGAAGTGCTGTTGTAGTCTACGTGCTTGATCATGATGCCAGATGATTCAGTCTTTCCTGAGTTACGATTGTCCGGTTTAGAACACGCACCCTGCCACCTATGATGGTTGTACCCCGATGGCGAGGATCATTGCTCTCAGTATCAATCACTGGATTGTCTGGTCCAGACTTGATTATTTACAGACTGCTGATATACAGGTTACACACAACCAAATGTTTTCCCATAGACTTCTATAGTAATGTTATATATTTTTTTAAAAATAACTAAGCATTCAACAGCTATTACCTGTACGTGTGTGCACAGTTTGGCCTTAGAGCAGCAATAAAAAAATAAATAATGACTAGCTTAGCCAGCTCCTTTTCCGAGTACCGGAAGCTAAACACACCACCCCAAGTTTCGCGCCAAATGTCACCTACTTGAAAATAGCTGTGGTCACATTCAGCATAAGTCATCATGTTGAAAAAGACAGTACAAAATATAGAAAAACATGGTCAGTTTTAATAACTGGATGGATGTACATTTGAAAGACATAAAAATCTTACAGAATATCCTCTAATCACAGCCTGCAGATGTCTCTCGATCTGCACTGAAGGCTCCCTACGAAAACCGCACTGTCCAAACTGGTTCTGATTTGGTGTAGTAGAACCTACAGCTGGAATATTGCTTGATGTGGCATTAAACCACAAACAGACAAACACCACCGCTAGGGTCTGGCTGTTGTGGGAACATGTCAGTCTTAAATCCCCTGTGGTCATTTCATTTCATGCTCTTACAGATTCTGGGTCAGTGGGGTAGCCTTGTGGTTAGAGCGTTCGCTCGTCATGACGAAGAACCGGGTTCAATTCCCCACTTGTGTACAATGTGTGAAGCCCTTTTCTAGTGTCCCCCGCCGTGATATTCCTGAAATATTCCTAAAAGCAGCGTAAAACCATACTCACTCACTTCCTCACTTGCAGATTCTGGAGGAGGAGCGTTTCCACTGTATTGAGAAGATCAAGACCATCGGTCAGACGTACATGGCTGCGTCAGGCCTCACACCTGAGACACAGTTCCCCGACATGAGACACGTGATCGCCATATCGGACTATGCCATTGCTATCAGGTCACAGCTGCAGTACGTCAATCAACATTCCTTCAACAACTTCAAGATGAGAGTTGGTGAGAAACTACTGATTATTATTATTATTATTAAATAATGCAAAGATTTCCGCCATTTTCATTGGCCCGAGAAGCGGTCACATTTCATCTGACAGAAGCACATATCAACGGAGGTCTGATGATACATATTTTTCAGGGAATTATCATTTTCAGAAGCTTGTGCCAGGGTCACAGGAGGTCAAGTTGTCTAAGGCGTCGCAATTTGCTGGCAGAGTTGCATCTTGGCAACATGCCAGAAACCTCTGATTGTGGGTTCTAATCCTAGTTCCCCTAATGTTGTTTCTAGGTTTGTTAGCAACATACCCGTGGCGGTAGGTTTCACCGAAGTGGTAAACGTCTGAGACCTGTATCACTTCGGGCTTTCCTCCCACATCAAGCTGCAACACAGTGATATAACTAGAATACTGTTGGAAGCCCGCGGAAGGAGAGTAGTGGAACAGACTGAAGGTTTCTGTAACTGGGGGCTTCTGTAACTGAGGGCTTCTGTAACTAAGGGCTTCTGTAACTAAGGGCTTCTGTAACTGAGGGCTTCTGTAACTGATAATGCCCTGAAATATACCATTACTGTTATTATAGCTAAAATACCCGTGAAGATCCGGTGTAGAATAGGTCTTCAGCAACCCATATTTGCCGTAAAAGGCGGCAATGCTTGTTGTAAAAGGCGACTAACGGGATCGGGTGGTCAGGCTCGCTGACTTCTTTGATACATGTCATCGATCCCAACTGCGTGGATCGATGCTCATGATGTCTATCACTGGATTGTCTGGTCCAAACTCGATTATTTTACAGACCGCCGTCATATAGCTGGAATATTGCTGAGTGCGGCGTTAAACAACAAACAATATTATAGCTAAGGTGGATAGCGAACATGAACAAGACAACAAACAGCAGCATACGTTAAGTGGCTGTATTAATAAACGGAGGTCACTATTTACAAATAGAAATGCATCGAACATAATATAGCATGACATCACAAGAATCAAGAAAGGTGACACCAATGACGTTACAAAACAGAAGAATAGATAGCAGCCTGTCGTTAGGGAATGCGCGGGCCGCTATCACATTTCACTGGCCCACAGATTTATGATCACAAGCTGGCATTTCTAGGATAAATCTGATCATTTTAGCTGTAATTTACGGTATTGACTTTTGTTACTGAAAATAGTGAAGTGGTATCACACAAAGCCACTCAGATCTCTCCTTTTCTTAGAACCTCCTGACAATATTGTAGCTAACATTGTTTTATATGTTAATCTACTTTTGTCTCTTTTTTATGTTATAAAACAATTATAGGCTTTATATGAGGTCAGTACCTGGTTTTGTGGACCCGAGTTCAAAGTCAGTAATACATTGGTTTTGTAGAAAATGTAAATGGCTCTTATCTGTGTGATTTTGCAGCTTTCTTCGCACATAGCGTTGCCAGGCTGTAAAAGACCCTACTTTATCCCTGTAAATTCACTGTGTTAAACCTTCTGCCCAGGTATCAACATGGGACCTGTGGTGTCTGGCGTGATCGGCGCTCGCAAACCTCACTACGACATCTGGGGCAACTCCGTCAACATCGCTAGTAGGATGGACAGCACGGGCGTCCCAGATAAGATACAGGTCAGTCTACATCAGTGATAAGTAGGGCCATCTTAGTGACCCTCATGTGGTAGGTTCCTCGGTAGAAAAGGTTTTGAAAGTTTGGTGGCAGCAAGTGGTGGCTTTATTGAGTGAGGTGAGATTGGGACTGATGGGATGGCATCGTACCCAGGTGAAATGCAAGTCTGCTCATAGTATATACTTCTGGTTTGTATGACCCAAACAAGACTCACTCACTCACTCACTCACTCACTCCTAGTTAGCCTAGTGGTTTAAGCATTTGCTCGTCATGCTGAAGACCCGGGTTCGATTCCCAACTTGGGTACAATGTGTGAAGCTCAATTGTGGTGTCTCCTGCCGTGATATTGCTGGAATATTGCGAAAAGCGGCGTAAAACCATACTCACTCACCCATGTCTCTCATGAAAAATTAAGAATCAATGTCACGCATCTGGCTCCTTGTTCATAGATTTCTTCCAGCACAGTTGCTACGCAGAGTTGCCTCCCTTAGGTGTGTCATGCCAGTTCAAATCCCTGATTATGATCTTTGGTTTACCCATACCTGTGGGTTTCACTGTTGTGGTAAAACCTCGGGGAGTTTTCATGTCATTGCTGTTATTTCCAATCAGTGATTAACGCACATTAACTTCTGACTCAGAACAACTATCATTATTACATATTTACAGAACTGTTGTTCAAACTGCGGTTATGTCTGCTATTTGTACTTGTTAGGATAATATTTTCTTGTTCCAGTTTTTCTTGTTCTGTTCCAATGAAATATCCACTTCTCATAACTTGCATTCATGTCTCTGTGCTGCTGCAGGTAACGCAAGATGTCTTCACGTTGCTGTCAGAAAGAGGCTACTCTCTGGAGTGCCGTGGTATTGTCAAGGTCAAGGGCAAAGGGGACATGATGACCTACTTCTTGATGGCCCCGCCCAACCAGAAAACAGAAGACACGAAAGTTTGAATACATTTATACAAGGGGACTGTTACAACTGTTACCATGGAAACAAGGGAAAGTTAGAAAAGACTGGTCTGGAAAAGTTTCGACTGAGAACAAGGGAACAATTTGTGATCAACAAACTCAGGAGGCCATGTCTGGCTGTGGACTCTGGACAGGTTTGGGCTGCTCCAGTCCTCCTCAGCATGTCAGCAATGGCCACCTTGTGCCTCTTGAGTCTTCTCCCACTCTGTCAAATATCAACAACCCTACATGTCAAATAACTTGTCAAATATTGTCAAATACTGTCAAAAAGTGAATCAAAATCCTTGTCGAACAGGTTGAAGATAAATGTGTCAAAGACTTTACGTCAGTCACAGACCTTGCAAAGGAGTATGCTGAAAACCAATCAGAAGCTACCTTGACCGTGATGATGCGTTTATGAAAAAATATAGGTGCTTCTTGCAAAACGTGTTTGTATGAAGAAGAAAGATAACAGCATGACACTTGTGCCACATGCCAAGAAGTAAATCTGGTCTCTCGTACCACCCATGCCAAAAAAGAAGTCTTCAATGGTCATATCTGAATATTATTCAAGTCTCATTTCTTTTGGCCCTTGAGCAGGTTCTTCACAATAATCAAGCATGTTTTATGCTAAACTTTGTCAGTACAAATGAATGGACGGCACACTGTACACTGTACGGAAAACTGCCAATGTGAAGCCACCATTAGCCAGTAGATGCCAGTGCTGGTCCTATGTGGATATTGTTGAGCCAGTGCTATTGGAGTCTTTCTGTCTGAGAAACAAAAATTTATATACTGAAGTATGGGATATGCTGACATGGACAAAGCAGAGTCTCATGTCTACTGCTTCCTGTATTTTTAGTGGTTGTCAAGAGAGCTGTGACAGGGGTTACCGTCCTTGAAGTCACAATGGTGCCTTGTCATTGAATTCATTAGGTTTGTAAACACACACCAGGTCCAAGGTATGCATATATCTGACTGGTCACTGATTGTACATTGTGAAGAGAAGAGACAACATTCATACCTGTGTTAGTATCTCAGCAAATCAGATTGAAAATGTGGTGAAAAATCAGCAGAATATTTGTTGTTGTTTTTCAGGGGGTGGGGATTTGTGTGACAGTTGTGAAATGGGATGTGTCAATACAGTGTGAAGTTTATCATGAAGTGTATCATTCTGTTTTATATGTGAAACAGTGGGTATTGTTTCAGCCTTAGGCAGAAATGTAGATACAGTAAAAGTATGATACAATTTGTGGCCTTATAAAAATCTTAGTACAGCAGTTAGGGTCATTGTCTGTTCAGGGGCTGCACAAATCTTGTGAATTTGTACGAAACTAGGCACCCCAAAGTGTTTTGTCAATATAAGTGGGGAGTGACCTCAGATAACATTGGATCTCCTTTAATAAGAAATATTTGTTAAATAGGTGAGACAGTGGACCCTAACTCACCCTAATCGTCAGAAATGAAAGTTTGGTTGATAGAAAAGGGGTGCTAACCCTAAGGATCGCAAGGACAGTGCTTGACTGAAAAAGGGCAATAATTCTCATATGAGACTTGTCTGGAAGTACGTATTTGTTTAAAAACATTTATGTTGAGTATCTATTTGTATATGTACCTGTTCCAATCTTCTGTGCCTGCCGACGATGGCACCATGTACTGTATTTTGATAACCATCTACACTAGTGATGATAGATCCTCGACCTCTGCCTTCTCCCATCATGTGTCTTGGTGAAAACTGATCTCATAGAATTGCCTCCCTTCTTTTTAGGGACTAATCAATAGAGTTGCCTCCCTTTTCCCTTTACGGCCCAATCAAGAGAGTTGTCACCCTTCCTCTCTTCAGGGACAAACACATCAATAGACTTGTCTCCCTTCCTCTCTTAAGGGACCAATCATTTGACATTCTGCAAGGCCTCGGATTTTAAAAAAGATACTTTGTGCAAAAGTAATTACTGAGAAAAATAATTCCTGTTTTTTTACCCCCAAAATTCAAGAGAGATAAAATGTGTTTTGAAGTAGGGATGTAAAACAAATGTACTGTCTCCAAAAGAAATTTTGAGGATCTCCCACTTTCGTCCTCCCCACCCTCCCCCAGGATACTGCATGGTCCCTCAACATGACTGGAAGACATTCTGTGGTTTTGCCTTTCATTTACCAGTTTTCAAAGATGTAGCATTATGTGATGTCTGTGTGATGACCAGCTTCCCATTTGGAGCTGTCTTAATGCTATTCCAGCAGAATATAGGCACTATTTGCTTATAGTGAGAAAATTGTAAAATTATTACATTAACAACCTCCGGAATAGTGAGGATAATTAACAGATTCTCACAACTCCTGATTTGACATTGAAAACTCACATTCTTTATTTTATGGTTGATCTCACACTGAATGAACTAAATGTTGAATTATGCTCGAGTCAGCAATATTCAGCCGTATCACGCAACCCAAAACTATGACCTGGTTGGTAGTGTGCCCCGCAGGAAACAAACAGCTGAGCCACACGGAGTGAACACAGGGTCGTCATGATGGCTCTTACAATATCAATGGGGAACAGGGACCGTGCTTTGCGCTCAGGAATCCCCAGTATCTGTGAAGGAACACTTAGTCTTATATTTGCTATATATGCATTCGCTAGTTGCTAGTCAAGTGAACTTTGCTAAATATGCCTTTGCTAGTTGATGGTCAAGTGAGTTCTTGCTAAATACGCCTTTGCTAGTTGCTAGTCAAGTGAGTTCTTGCTAAGTATGCCCTTGCTAGTTGCTGGTCAAGTGAGTTCTTGCTAAATCAATTTTGGTAGTTGCTGGTAAAGTGAGTTCTTGCTAAATACGCCTTTGCTAGTTGCTGGTAAAGTGAGTTCTTGCTAAATAAGCCTTTGCTAGTTGCTAGTCAAGTGAGTTCTTGCTAAATACGCCTTTGTTAGTTGCTGGTCAAGTGTGTTCTTGCTAAGTACGCCTTTGCTGGTTGATAGTCAAGTGAGTTCTTGCTAAATACGCCTTTGCTATTTGCTGGTAAAGTGAGTTCTTGCTAAGTATGCCTTTGCTAGTTGCTGGTCAAGTGAGTTCTTGCTAAATAAGCCTTTGCTAGTTGCTGGTAAAGTGAGTTCTTGCTAAATAAGCCTTTGCTAGTTGCTAGTCAAGTGAGTTCTTGCTAAATACGCCTTTGTTAGTTGCTGGTCAAGTGTGTTCTTGCTAAGTACGCCTTTGCTGGTTGATAGTCAAGTGAGTTCTTGCTAAATACGCCTTTGCTATTTGCTGGTAAAGTGAGTTCTTGCTAAGTATGCCTTTGCTAGTTGCTGGTCAAGTGAGTTCTTGCTAAATCAATTTTGCTAGTTGCTGGTAAAGTGAGTTCTTGCTAAATACGCCTTTGCTAGTTGCTGGTCAAGTGAGTTCTTGCTAAATAAGCCTTTGCTAGTTGCTGGTCAAGTGAGTTCTTGCTAAATACGCCTTTGCTAGTTGCTGGTAAAGTGAGTTCTTGCTAAGTACGCCTTTGCTAGTTGCTAGTTAAGTGAGTTCTTGCTAAGTACGCCTTTGCTAGTTGCTGGTCTAGTGAAATCTTGCTATAAGTTCCTCTGCTAGTTGCTAGTCACGTGAAATCTTGCTATATATGCCTCTGCTAGTTGCTAGTCACGTGAAATCTTGCTATGTATGCCTCTGCTAGTTGCTAGTCACATGAAATCTTGCTATATATGCCTCTGCTAGTTGCTAGTCACGTGAAATCTTGCTATGTATGCCTCTGCTAGTTGCTTGTCAAGCGATCACACTACGCATGCCTTATATAATCTCTCTACCCTCCAACTGAGACAGGTTACAGTGTAAACATGTGTCCACAGAAGTCTAGGAGAGAATACAGCTTATATTACCACTGTAACAAATTTGATACATTCCCTGAAATGACTACTGACAGTGCCAATGTGATATCAGTTAGTCTAAGTATTCTGTTGGATGATCTCAAACTATTGCATATCACAGTGACAGGGACCATCTCAAAACTTGTGTCCATGCAAGGATACGAGTTCATGTAGTTTCATCTGATATGGAAAATTGGTTCCTACTCGACTCATTGATAATTATACTTGCTGTATTTTATGATACAAGGCAATACATCTACTGTACTTAATACATTTCTGTATCAGTTCTAATTACACAACAGTCCTACCAAGCATTGTGTCGGTCAGTTGGTCTGGTAAAATTATATCAGAAATTAATGAACACAAATTGTCCCAAAATGATCATGCTGATTTACATTCTTGCAAAAGTCTTTGTAGGTTGACAGTAATTAAACTCAGATATGGTTTTGATAATCGCCCCACTTTGTCAGTTTCCTAAGTGCCTGGTATGCTTATTTGGGGAAATATGGTAATTCTTTTTGGTGTATGTTTTCAAAATTCTTGTTCAACTAGCACTGTACCTGCTTTATTATATTTTGACATTACAAAACTTGAAAGACAAAGAAGTCAAGGAAGAGAGTATGTGGATGTCAACTTCTTTATTATGAGGAACACAACGTTTCGGAGTACATGCTTACTCCTTCATCAGGTGAATTATGAAGGAGTAAGTATATACTCCGAAAATTGTGTTCTTCATAATAAAGAAGTTGACATCCATAAATTCTCTTCCTTATATGTATCACTTCTAAATGCCTTTCAAAGACTTGACAAAGAAATTGTTATTCAGGAATATGCAAAAGGCTTAAATCTGCAGACTCTCAGGCCGGCATGGTTGACATATGATATCAAGAGAAATGTTCTGCATAATAATTAAATATTAATCCTGATTAGATATTTCATTCTATGTATTGGATTGAAGACAATATGTATTATTTGGAACCTGTTTTCAAGGGCAAATATTTTAATGAAATATATGATTTCCTGGTTGTGTCTGCTGTCTTGGTGCATTTTTAGCCTACAATTATTGTGAGTCTTTGTCAGAATGGATGGGAAGTGGGTGATAGAAAATATTTCAAACAGAATACATCTCACAGTTTCAACATAATTTATGTCATCTAATTACAGTTGGCTAAAACATTTTGTACTCAAACATTGTGTATTTCCAATTTTGGTGATTTTTATCATTTTGTTTCTTTGCGATACTCTTAATTGTTTGTTAGATTTGAGTTCTTTTACATCTTTAAACTTTGTCACTGGTTGTC